CAAAGAAAGGTAAAAAACATTTAGCTTGCAAATTAAAAAAATCCATATATGGCCTTAAACAAGCTTCTAGGCAATGGTATTTAAGGTTTAATGATACCATTACCTCTTTCGGATTTAAGGAAAATGCAGTTGATCAGTGCATATATCTGAAGGTTAGTGGGAGCAAGTTCATTATGTTAGTGCTATATGTGGATGACATTTTGTTAGCTAGTAATGACCTTGGCTTATTGCATGAAACCAAGGAATTCTCTCAAGACTTTAAAATGGTCGAATATGGGTGAGGCAACTATGTTATTGGCATAGAGATCTTTAGGATGATCTCGAGATTGCTAGGACTATCTCAAAAAATGATATATTGATGTGTTTTGGAGAGATCAATACTGCAGTTTTTGTTCAGCCGGTGATGCAACCCATCATGAAAGGTGATAAATTAAGTGAAAATCAGTGTCCAAGAAATGACTTGGAAAGAAAACAAATGAAGGACATTCCATATCATCAGCCGTAGCGGAGCTGATGTTGCCCATACATGTACCAGTGCCAGATATTAGTTTGCCAGTTGGCAATGCGTTGGGAAGATTCCAAGTAATCCGGGAATGAAACATTGGAAACAGTAAGAAAGTTATGAGATTATCTCCCCTCACGGAACAAAGGCATTATATGCTCACCTAAGAGATCAGAACAGTTGGAAGTCTATCGGATACTCAGACTCAGATTTTGCTTGGTGCTTGAATTAGTAGAAAATCTACATCGGTTTTTGTTTTTCTACTAGCTAGTGGGCAAGCACTTCATGGAAGGTGTGACAGCAGTCCACTATTGCTTCAGTTACTATGGATGGCTGAAGTTCTGTGGATGCTTTGAGGCTACGAAATCAAGCTTTTATGGTTCGAATTTCCATCTCAGGACTTGGTGTTGTTGGACCAATTGTCAGGTCGCTGAAGATATATGTGACAATACGCAGCAGTTTATCTTCTCAAATATGGAAAGTACTCCATGGTCCAAACACATGGAAGTAAATGTACTTGGTTGTTGAGAGAGAGTCCAGAAACACAAGTGTTAATTGGAAAAGCTTAAGCACCTCTCTTGATTGCTGATCCATTCACAAAGGGATTGCCACCAAAGACATACAGAGAGCATGTTATCAGGATGGGTCTTTTAAGCAACCTTGATGTGTATGGTTAATCATGAGTTCTTTTTTTGACACTATTTGCGCAATAATAATTTTGTTTCTGTTTTTCCTGTTTCTAAAAGTGTGTGTACACATTATTTTGAATATTGATAAATCAGGAAAATGTCTTAACAAGACAAATTACAGGGGCCTTTCAGGCAAATAATTATATATCCCGATAAAGGACTGGGTTGGTGAAGGTTATCAATGGTGTGGTGCATAGAAGGAAATATGACATAAATGTTATATAACCGCTATGACTCACATTGGTGATCTGAAGTAATCACAGTATTATAGTTTCTAATATATCTGAACTTATTGGCTATTTTTTAAAAATTCGTGATCACATGTCAAAGTTTTTAGTGTGGAATCCAATGAGTCAAAATTTTTTAAGTTGCATATTTTTGAAAAAACTCATAATTGCATCATAATCGGCTTAATGGGCCAAGTGGGAGCATGTTGGATTTATTTTTCTAGTGTGGCCCAATAGATATTTTTACATGTTTTATTTTATTTGGACTCCACAATTAGATAAAGCCAATATTATATATAAAGTTCAGTAATTAGAATTTTAATATAATCACTCTTCTAAGATAAGAAGGAAACCTTGATGGATTAGGAATTCTTCTGATAGAGTTTATCTGGCCCTCTTCTTTCCTCTATATAAGGATGGGTGACTCCCCTTTCATATCATAAGTATTTTTCTATCACTTTAAGTTTTATAGTCATCCTAATTAAGAGAGACAGAGAGAAGAAGGTTCGCCAAAAAATTAAAGGTTCAATTCTAAGGGGTATTTTCTCAACTTCTCTAATTCAATGGCTGACAAAGGTATATTCATTTTATTCTTGAGTTGTATTGAATTCAAGATCCTGTAAAGTTTAATTCCGCATTATTATTATGGTTACATGTATTATTAAATCTTACAGTAATGTGCAGGAAATATAAATGATAAAAAAAATATAAATTAATTGTCTTTGATTTTTTTTTTAGTTGCTCCCTTTACAATGTAGTCATGAATGGCTATTTATAGGTAAACATCTGTAGGAAAAAACTATCTAGTAACTATCCTATTCTTTCATCTTCATTCTTGTCTTGCCATGTGTCCCTCCATAATCTCTCAACTCCTCCACTGCATACTCCATGTTCTTCCATTTTCCCATCATATTTTCCACATCATTTTGTAACTTCTTATAACCTTCAAGTGAGTAGAAGAGTGTTATGTGTCCTGCAATAAATAATAATAATAATTACAGATTTATGGTGCCAACAGGGTCTTGTCTTAATAATCTAAATCGTTCATTTTTTAGAATTTGTTGAGTAGTATATTTCTGTGAAAGATCAAGTTAATGGAACATCAATAACTTTTTGATTAGATCTTATTTGTATTAATTACACACACTATTTATTTTTTTAGATATAAATAGTTTTGATCAAAAAGTTATCGATGTCTTATTAACTTTTGATTTTTATAAAGGCGTACTCTAAAAACTAAACAGTTAGAATTATTGAGGTAGGACCGAAATGAGCCCACGAGGGGAACAACCATGATTAAGGCTAGGGGTGTATAAAATACTACCCAATCTGTTAACAGCGCATCGATCCACACAGATCTATCTACTAATAATGGATTAAATTTTAAAATTTATAATTCGCTTTTGAAATAGTTTTGTTCTGCTATAGTTAATATATATGTATATTTTTTTAACCTCTAATGAAATATCAAAGTAAAAATGAGTGTGAGAGAAATTTAAAATATGAAATTTATTATCAATTAGTAGTTATATATATATGAAAAATATTATGTAAAATTAGTTTAGGTCATATATATGAAAAATATTATGCAAATTAGTGTTATATATTATGCAAATGCATAATAATTGTTTAAAAATATTTTTCAATCAACTGACAAATTGAAACAGCCCCAAATTGCTGTTTGGTTATTTGGCAATCCGTCACTCACGGTTTGATTTATAATTTTACTCTCAAACTGCCTGAACCGCACCGCCCACACCTCTAATTAGGGTTGTGCAAAGTACCGTCCAATTCACTAAAACTGCCCCATTTGCACTGATCTGCTCGCTAACCGCGGATTAGTTTGATTTACGATTTGAAATTTATAATTCTCCTTTGAAATTGCTCCATTCCACTATAATTAATTCACATATATATATATATATATATATTTATTTATCTTTAATGAAATAACAAAGTAAAAATCAATATGATTTAAGATGTAGAATTTGTTACAAATTAGTGTTTTATATATGAAAAAATATTATGTAAAATCAGTTAATGTTATGTATATGGGTAGATTACAAATACACTTTTTAAAGCTTGCTTAAAATATGAATTGCCCCTTATGATTTTAAAAATTACATTTTGCCCCTTCAAGTTTCTAATTATATAACAAATAATTCTTTTTATTAATAAATTATCAAATCAATTAATAATTTTTTGATGATGTTATAAATATATTTAAATTAACAATTCATGTAATTTTATTATTATATAGGAGAGTAGTTATAAATTTTATTTTTCTATTAATTTTGTTAAATAAAAAATTATAACAAAAAAATATTTGTAATTTTCAAAACACAAAAAACAATTAATATGTTAAGCAAACTTCAAGGGTGTACTTGTAATTCACCTTAAAAAATATTATACAAATTAGTAAATTCTAGATACTTATTTAAATAAACTATCAATAGATCATAATAGTTGGACTTCATTACCATTAAGTCCTATTGAAAGTTAGTCCTAGTAAAATCATCGCTAAAAATAATATTTTTGTGACTTTTTTTTTTTTTTTTTTTTGCAGATGTCGCTAAAAATTGACAATTAGTATTTTTTATTATGTTTTTTTATAAATTGTCGAGAAAATTTAGAATTAGTGACATTTTTATGTGACGAATTTTTCAAACTGTCACTGAAAGTTAAAAATTAGTAACCTTTTTTGTAATGATTTTTTTTTAAATTGTCGCTAAAATCTATAATTAGTGACATTTTTGTGACAAATTTTTTATGGGAGTTTTGGTTATAGCCCTCTCATAATAAAACTTTAATACATTAAAGATAAGCACAATTTTTTTTTTTTTTTTTTTTTTTTGAGAAGTCCAACTCATGCCACTATTAACAAAATATTAAATTTTAAAATAATAATTTTTTTGATTTAGATGTCGATTTTTAATAAAATTAGTATTTTTTATAATTCTCTCATCAAGATCTATCAAATAATATCCATGTTGACTATGAAATTCTTTTTTAAAAAAAAATTATTACTGTCGAAATTGATGTAAACAATAACATATTACTCTGTTTGATAGGGCCTCACAGTAACATGTTACTCTGACAATATTGTCTAAGAAAAAAAGGATATTTAACTTTTTTTCTTACTCAATTATGCGCCTATTCCTTAGAGGGTTTATGAAGTAAAATAAATTGAGTTGTCATTTTTACCAAATAAAGTATCCAATGGAAGAATTTTGACTAAATTTCTCAATTTTTAAATTGTCACTAAAAATTAATAATTAGTAATGTTTTTTAATAATGTTGAATTAAAAACGACATTAATTATCATAGCACCTATTAAATAATAAATTCACTTATTAAAACATGCATGCAATTGTCCCTATTTATTTAATATTATTTTTCAATCAACTAAACTGCCTAATTTACAATTTAATTATTTGTCAAACCAATTTGTAATTTTATTCTTAAATTGCACCGCGTAACTGTTTTGAGAAGAAGTTTAAAAGTTAATTTTTTTTTTAATTATTTTTTTTAAAATATATGTGAAAAAAAAAAAAAAAAATCTGACTTCTAACAGGTGGTGAAAAGATCTCGATCAAGGCAAGGCCCAGCCCAATTTTCGGACGCGCACCGACGAACGACAGACCTAGAATGTAGAAACCACAGACAGGAGAGGGAAAGATACGAAGCTACGGTTCCTCCTCGCGCTTCAACGCCCCCAAACTGAAACCCAAAGCTTTCTGCACCAACAAATCATAATCCTTAGTGGCCCAAATTATTGATTCATATAACACTGTACATCATTTTTATAGAGTTGGTTTCCTTTTTTTAAAAAAATTTAATCGGTTGACATAATGCAAATACTACCCAGATGGCGAAACGTTTTGATTCTCAAGAATTCGATAATTCAGTCAACAACAACAGCCGCTTCGTTTCATTCCACTCCCATTTCCTTCGACAAATGGAAAACCAAGTTGAACCCTGTAAGTTATTCTTTTCAGGTGATATGATATTTATATAATGTGGAATTCGTTGTTTGGGCAAATTAACTTTATTTCGTTATTTCAATATACAAATGTGCAACTCTTGTTTCAGTTAAATGTGGTTTTTGATACCTGCTTTTGAATTCAGTTTAGTGCTATTCAATTATCTCTCTCTCTCTCTATATATATATGATGCATTTGTATTGTATTGTGTTGTATTGTTGAGTTGTGGAATTTGGACGTGTGGAATAGTCGGAAGATTGTAGAGGACCCATAAAAGAACCCATTGGAAGTCCGATGGTTGTTGAATAAAAAGCCAGTTATTGCTAGCAGTGAATAGTGTTGAAATATTTTATTTTAGGAATGTTGCTCTAATGTAATTTTTTTGGGGAAATTGCAACCAAAAAAAAAAATGGAAAGCAGGGGAAATAATTGCTAAAGAAGGGGCAGTAAAAATAATTGCATTTACCATGGAGCCTTATAAAAAACAATTGCAAAAGAATGGACAAAATTAAATGATTACCCCTCTCATTTGTTGCCCTAACTCCCTCTCTTCCCTGTCACAACCCGAATTTAGAAGATCTGAACCCTGGAGAATCTTCCAAAAAATTATACCGGAAGGACAATAATAAATAATAATTAAAAGTCACCCTCCGTGTATAAATAAGTCATCAGTACATGGTTGATAATCCTTACATACGTCCTATATTCATGAACTACATGACATGAATATACAGTATATAAATCGAAATGGAATCAACGTTCTTTATTAAATAAATGCCTATAGACTTACAATAATTAAAAAGGGTATAATCCTTTACAAAAGAAATGGCACTCGGCCGACAAAATAAAGGCCCTTGGTCAATAATCAAAAGAGCTCCTTTAGCTCACGCTTACATTCCGTGCTAACTCATGGTCGTGATATGTCATCAATGTGTGAAAAGTTTTCAACGTGGGATGAACATATAGTCTATTGGAAAGATCTTTACATTTACTAATATTGATCTACACATGTATATGATCGTGATGCTATAACATATGTGTACAATGTTAAAATCCCATTCTCTGTCAATCATAACATTCCTTTTTAAATCTCATGGATTATCACAATTGTACGGGGGCGAAATATCCTCTGTTCTCCGTACTCCTTGGTCGTCAAGCTTCTTATGATGGCGTCTATCTCTGCAACACAAAAATGCTGAGCTGCCCGGCGGTGGTATGCCAGAAAGACCCTCCGACGATCAAGTCAGACCACAAGCTAAAGGAGAAGGCTATCAGAGAGAGAGTTTTTGATAGGATGAATTCGCTTACCCTCAACGTCCCTTTTCCTCCTTATTTCTAGGCTGGCCATGCAGCCTCAAGATTGTGCGTGCACTATCTTTGCTGTCCTTCCCTGGACAGGTGGCAGTGCTCGCCTCTCACCACCTTATGCGTGTAAAGGCTCAGTCCTCCCTCCAGTACACACAAAACTGCCCAACGGTATTGAGGCGTGCATGGAGCGGATGTCCTCTCCTTCACGCCATTGGCCCAGGTGGCATACTTAACCGGAGTACCACGACCGGCCTGTCACTTGTGGACAGTCGCTATTACATGCTCATAACCGAGCTATGTGTCGCCGACCTATAACTTGGAATCAGGCGAAAGCCTGCCCACCTCGGCCGAACTATCATTGGTCAGTTCATCATGACCATCCGGTTGCGAGGCATGCCGGCCTCCCACCGGTCTACCTTCAATCCTGGTCACACGAAGCCACTTTATATCGACTGACAGATCCAAGGTATACCGGCCTTGATCGCGTCCACGGACTAGCTCGGGCTGCCTTTTAGCCCGGTCACCACCCGCTAACCCAAGCTCCGTCCAATACGTTCAAGACGCAGCTCAGCCATGCCAGTTGGTGCCCGACCGATCAATATTTCTGACCGTGCAAGGCAGGCCGCTGGCCATGTCAACAGAGATTAGCTCGGCGCTACGCGGTCCGTCACGTCTGACGTTATCTCAGCTCGGCCGTATAGTCAGGTGCAAATCTCCCCTCTCAATTGCCCCTTAAATCCATCCGAGCTATCGTGATTGGGTTTACCTCTGTGACCGAGCTAATCGGTTGAATTGCGCCATTACCGAGCCGAGCATCACGGGGAAATATCTGGCGCCGAGCTATCCCGTTTGGCCGGCTGTCTTGTCAAGGGTCGTACAGCCGTACTGACAGCCGCGTTTCCAGTGCCAAGTGGCTTCACGCCATTGGGTCGTGCAGCCAGCTGTTCTGCATGCGCAGAATTCAAACGGCTGCGTCGCTTGAGTGGTTTCCCCCCTTTTTATGCATAGACCAAGGGTCATTCGAACCCTTCACTCTCCATCTTCGTCCAGAGCTCCAAACCCTAGCCTTCCATCGCTCCAAGCTCCCAACCGTTGCTGCCCCTTGCTGTGTCTGCCATTCCTGACGTTGCAGTCGAGCTCTCGAGGCCTAACTCACTTCTCATTTGTTTTCGGTAAGTCACGCTACCCCCTCCCTTGTATTTTTTGCTCCCGTTTTCCAGTTCTCCCTGTTCTTTGCGTTTTTCTGCCACTGTGCTTCGTGTTACCTGCCTGGGACCTTTAAGGTTCCTCCTTTTTAGTCCAATAATGCCATACCTTAGGAAAACTGGAACTAGTGGAGTGGAGGGGGCTTTCGTGCCCCTGTTTCCCCTTAGTTTGAACGAATGAGCCTTGAGCATATGATAAACGAGATGAATAGGATGAACACTGTTCAAAACCGAGCTGAATGCTCATTTAGATCCGTAGGGAGAGCTTAAACCGAGCAAAAATGGTTTGTGGATGCTCGCTGAGGCCGCAACCGAGCTAAATGCTTAATAAAATCGACAAACAGGTCTAACCGAGCAAAAACTTGCCTTGACTAAACCAAAGATAGAATCAGAGCCAAACCAGGAAGGCTAAATCAGCCGTGCCGTCCAGCCGAGATAGGGATAGACCGACCAAAAACCCAAAAACATTCACCGAGCGAAAAAATCCAGCGTGAGCCGTGCAGTTTATGCCGTGCTAACCCTTGAAATTCTTTCTTAATCAATGCAGAACAAACTAGGACTGACCAAGCCCTTCGGAGTTACCACTGGTGGAGCTCAAAGTCCGTGCAAATACACCAGCATTCTTGACCGGGATACCCACTAAACCAAATAAAACCGAAATAATGGGGAAGTATCGATTTATGGTAAGCTCGCCTGGCGCGATGGCCGAATTTAGAAGGGAGTACAACGTTCCTGATGACGTCATCTTAGAACTCGCCAAAAAAGGAGACACACCATGGGGCGACTTAGACCGGTGCCCCTTCACGGTCGTTTCCATTGTTGAAGGAGGGCTTCGCTTCCCCGTGCAACCTTTGATCTGCGAATTTTTGAGGCAGACGAGGCTTTGCCCGACCCAAGTTTCAAATAACATATACAAAATAATAAACGGCGTCGCCGAGCTGAACCGGAGGCTCGGTTTAAATCTCGGTCTTGCAGAAATTTTCCACCAATATAGCCTAAGTAGAAATAAGAGTGGGCTTTGCTGGTACCTCAAAGTCAAGAAGGACCGAGCAAAACTCATTGAAGGCAACCCAGACAAAGAAACTAACGACGACGACTTCCTCTGGGTGTCCGGTGCTTACGAGGACACCGAGGCGCCCATACCGGGCTGGTACATTAGGAAAAATTTTGGCAGTGCTGGTAAGTAGCCCGGCTGACCGCACTATCCTCTTTTTGCATTTCATTATTATAATTTTGCACCGGTCTAACACTTACCTCCTTTCTGCAGATAAGTACCTAGCAGCGGACTACCACCAGGCCAACCAAGAGGCCATCAGAGTCCTGCTTCGCCATCCAGCCGAGGAGAGGGAGGCATCGAAACTTCTCGGTTTCGACCAAACCTACCATTACCAAGCGCCGCGCAAGAGCAGAGTCACCGACTTCCTACGTGCGCCATCCCCTGAACCAGATCCCAACTTGCCACCAATCAGACTCGTCCCCCTTACAGCCGAGCAAGAAATGGCCAAGATAAGGGCGATCAAATCAATGATTACTGGGGAGGAAGGGGAGTCCCAACCTCCAGAGGCGACCGGGGGAACATCTTCCACCCCAGCCGGGCAAACAGAAGGAGCTGTGCTTGCTCTCGCCAGCGAACAACCGGCTGGCCGATCAAAGAAAAGGACGAGGAAGGAGATGACCGGGCAAAACCTCGTTGATGAAGATTCAACTGAGGTCGCCTCAACCGAACAGGGGGACCGGACCGAGCAACCGCTGGTCGGCAAATCCAAGGGCAAGGGCCCAGCCACCCCCCCGGTCTGGGCGCCCGAGTTCAAATACCAGGGCCGGGCAGTTTCTTCTGAGGACTCTGTCTACGCGGACAAAGATTACTCGCTTGGTTTCAATTTGACCAAGGGGTTAATCTTGCCCACCGATATGAAAAAACATGACGAGCTTTCCGACCTCAAGGTCCTCCGCTCGACGGCGAAATCCATAGTGCTGGTAAGGTCTCCATTTTTTACATCAAACTGTTTGCTCATTTTTGCTCGATTTTTTGAATACTGACGCTCTCTCACTTGTTTTCAGGTCGCGCAAAAGAACTATTTGGCCCATGACCGAATGATCAAAGTGCGGCAGAGCCTGCAGGATGCCATAGCTGAGAATAAGGCACAAAAGGCCGAGATAGCGAAGCTTAAAGCTGCGCAGGAGGCAGTTGAGGCCGAGTGAGATACCCTGAGCCAAAAGGTTGACCGAGCTAACGAGGACAAACTGCGGGCCGTGAAGTCGACGAAGGCTCGGTATCTCGCCGAGCTGCGGAAGCTGCGCGACGCCCATAAGGAAGAAAGGGACCAAAGCGGTCGATGAGGCAGAGGACCGTGGATATAAGCAGGCGGAGAGCACCTACGAGCGCGAAGTCCAAGCAACCAAGGACATCTTTTTCCAGTGCGGTGCGAAGGCTGCCGTGGAAAAAGTTGGCCTTTGGTCAGGATGCCGAAATGTTTGTGAACA